ATACCCATTCTATTCTATAACTTCTCTTTCCATTCCCCTAATTCTCGAAGATCTTTGGCCCAAAATCAAGAGGTCATCTTCCTTGGCCACAAATTAGTGAAAGCCCTCTGAGTTGCCATTACAGTCAGCCCCAATTAATTGAAGCCCTAGCCCAGAACTCTTTTTGGAGTCGTCATTGCCTACAAATCCTTGAAGAGCTAGCCCTAAAATCGACATATAGCGGTTGTTTTTTTCCAAATCGTCATAGCTCTAGCCTCTAAATATTGGAAGCATTACCCCTAAATCCCCTTCGGTACAATGATGGCCTCTAACAAAGTGAAGTGTTTCAGCGTCCAAGGCTTCTTCAAAAGTAACAAAAACTTCTCTTCTAAGGGGTTGTTTGGTTACTTTCCTTCACTTACTTTCCTTCATTTTTTAGTGTTTCCCTCACTTTCTTTGGAAGAGTCTTTCTTGTGTTTGTTTCGTAAAGAAATATGAGGAATAATTATTTTCCATCACTTTCTTTAGTTTAGTTCAAAAGAAAAATAAGAAAATAGTTGATGTATGACTTGATTCTATCATTTTCTAATGTTTGGTTCAAATCAAAAAAATAGAAGAAACGATCAAACGATGGTGTGGTCACTATGGTGTGCTTACCACTCAAATAGGACAAAATATTTGTCAAACATAAGTGGGTGAGAATACCCACCATTTGAGGGTCTAAAATTCTAAAATATGACCACTTTTAAATATATGATAGTAATTTGTAAAAATTTAAAAAAATTTGAGGGACTAATTATGAACGTTTAAGGGAGTAAGTCCAAATCTTTAATTATGTGAGTTAAGTTTTTATAAACCCATTTGAGAGACTAAATTCAAAATATGAATATTTGAGAGAGGAAATTGGAATTGTTTAAAGATTTGGGGGTCTACTTTTAAATTTTAGGGGGTAATTTCTAATATATTTAGAGGTTTTAGTGACTACTTTCAATAAATTATGGACATTTAGGAGGGTAATACAAAAATCTCTAAAAAATGATAGACTAATATTAAGTTTTAGTGACTACTTTAAACTAATTATGAGAAAATATGACGTAAATAGGTCCAATATTGATATTAATAAGACTATATAGATATTAGTTTTATTGTAACTAGAATTATTGCGAAGCATATATGATGATAGTGAAGAAAACCCTTGTAACTTCATCCATTTTTCAAGTAGTATGTTAAGGTAACAATGAAATCTTAAGAGGTGCCAATATCAAAATTACCATTATATAAACATTTTTAAAACAAAATATCTTGAGAAAATAAGAAAAAATAATGGAGGGAATAAAACGACAACTAAGAGCATCTCCAACAATCTCCTAGTAAGAGCAAGTGTATCAAGCTCCCAGTTGGGAGTCCTAGTCAGCAAGCTCTCAAGAGCTCTCAAGCATTTTAGAATAAAAAATTAAAAAAGTAAGCCTTGGGAGGCACTCCTTCTTTTATGGATCTCCAACAAGCTTCTAGTTAGGAGCTTCAACAATATCAAAAAAAACCCTCTTCTATTTTAATATTTTACCCATTACTTTCAACTATATTTAAACCTCTTGTATTTTATTTCTAACCGTTGGATACGGCCTTCGCGGGAGCGCACACGGTCTTCGAGGCAACCCACGGCCTTCGAGGGAGTGCACACGGTCTTCGAGGTAACCTGCGGCTTTCGAGGGAACACACACGGTCTTCGAGGTAACCCTCGGCTTTCGAGGGAACGCACACGGTCTTCGAGGTAACCCACGGTCTTCGAGGTTAGGCACGAAGTTCGAGGTATCGCAAACTTTGACCGTCAACTGACTGATTCCTATAAAATTTGATGGCTTCTCTCCTCAACCCATCATCTCCCAGAATAAAATGTCTAGCTCATCTAGCTCTAGCGATGATGAAATGATGAAGACGTTCTTTCTTATGGGAGCTGTTGTCGTTGAGGAAGAAGAACAAGAGAAATGTTCAACTTCAGTTCAACACAAACGACGTATCATGCTCCATCGAAACCGACTGGAAGGCCACAATCGGTTGTTCCAAGATTATTTTGCTGACGCACCAACCTATCCTCTTTATTATTTTCGTCAAAGATTCAGAATGACGCGTTCGTTATTCCTTCGAATCCACGACGCAGTCGTCGAACATGACATGTACTTCGTCCAAAAGAGGAATGGTGCTGGACAGTTAGGACTATCTAGTCTTCAAAAGATTACTGTAGCTATACGGTTGCTCGCATATGGAGCATCCACTGACTCCGTTGACGACTACGTTCGGATCGGTAAAAGTACGTCGCTTGAGAGCGTGAAGAGGTTCGTTCGATCAATTATCAACATCTTTGGAGAGGAATACCTTCGTTCACCGACTAATGAAGACGTTGCACGCCTGCTCGAGGAAGGTTCACAACGAGATTTTCCTGGTATGCTTGGGAGCATCGACTGCATGCACTGGACATGGAAGAACTGTCCAATTGCCTGGTAAGGTATGTATACTGGACATTTTCATGAACCTACAATTATTTTGGAGGTCGTAGCTAGCAAAGATCTTTGGATATGGCATGCCTTCTTTGGACTGCCGGGGTCTCACAATGACCTTAATGTTCTACATCGTTCACCGGTTTTCGCACAACTTGCGGAGGGAAGAGCTTCACCGTGCAACTATACTGTCAATGGCCACGAGTATAATATGGGATACTATCTCGCCGACGGGATTTACCCAGAGTGGTCCACATTAGTGAAGACTATTCCAGCACCGCGAGGAAACAAGCATAAATACTTTGCTCAACAACAAGAGAGCGCAAGAAAAGATGTTGAGCGAGCTTTTGGCGTGTTGCAAGCTCGATTTGCGATTGTTCGTGGACCAGGACGTTTCTGGCAACCTTGTGTGCTGAAAGATATCATGACAACTTGTATCATAATGCATAACATGATCGTTGAAGATGAACGTGATTGCCAATTGGACAACAACTTCGACTTTACTGATTCAGTACCAGTCGTTGAACCTTCTCATGCGCAGACGGTGCCTCTAACTGAGTTCATCCAAAATCATCTTCGGATCAGGAACACGCAAACACACAAATCACTAAAAAATGATTTGATCGAGCATCTGTGGCAGCTCAAGGGATCCATCGCCGAGGATTAAGGTTCTTTATGTCTAATGTAATTTCAGAAAAGGAGTTCAAGTTGTTGTACTACGCCAATTTTATTTTCAATAAAGTAGTTGTTTTCATTCAATGCCAATTTTTCAACTTCAAGTACAATCATAAATCTAATACAAGCTAATATTTGATAATTAGGAAGAACTAATGAGGATACGATGTGAGTACAATATATGATAATTAGGAAGAACCCTTGGACATCCACCTCTCCAATATCTCTGCCTGACGCATTTCAAAGTATTATCGTTGAACTGAATTGAGTGTTGAGAGATCCATCTTCATGATATTGTCATCTTGTTTCTTTTGTTTTAGCTCTATTTTTTGATTGGTGGTTTGCTTCATCCACGCGAAAGCCTCTCCCATGACAGACGTAGCGGATCCAGAGTTTTCCACATTTTGTTTCCTCTTGAGCTTTGCTGCTTTCCTCCCTTCAGGCCTTACTAACACATCATCCGAGTCGGTGTTCAACTCGATGGGGGTCGCTGGCATGGAATTGTTTGCTGAGGAATCAGAGTTTGTGGTTCTTCTCGGCTGTGATCGAATCTTATTGTAAGTTTCCATTTGTTGGATCCACTTTTGATGATGACGCAACTCAACCCAACAATGGTCAAACACGAATGGCTTACCATAAAGAGATTGGTATAATTCTTTTACTTCTGCAGTCTACACAAAAGTTAAATTTAGAATAATCTAACATATAAGTTAAATATTTACATAAAAATATATAAGTTAAATATTTACCTGGTCAATAATTCCCATACCAGATCTTTGTCTTCCTTCAATCTGAGCAACGTACCCACAGAACTTGTTAACAGACAGTTGAATCGTTGACCAACGGTGCATCATTTGGTTTGGTGTGCGGCTCGTTGGATCGGTAGAGTATTGGATAAAGTAGTCGTTAGCTCTGTGCCAGAACTTATCTTTGTGTTGCCCCGTACCTTGGATGGCGTCTTGGCTCGTGTTTAGCCAAGCAGACATAAGAAGCTTATCCTCGTGGACAGTCCAATTTTCGGACCGCGTGTAAGCCTTCTTCTTCTTTGTGGTCGGTGTTTCTTGGGATGGCACTTGTTGTGTTGCGGATTGCGATAACTCGATGGGATGATCTTCTTCTACGACTTCTGTATAAAACGGCGAGTATAAGGTCGATCCTTCACCGTGAAGGAGTTGCGAATAGTAGTTGTTTTGGGAGGGATCCATGAGATTTGTAATTTGATAGGAAAATATAGAGTTTTTTATGAGAGAGTTGTATGGAATGATTTGTGTAGTGAATTGTGAATTTATAGAGTTTTTCTTACTGTTCAACGGTCATTTTTAACGGTATTTTTTCACTCAACGGCATTATTTTTCACTCAACGGTCATTTTTAACGGGCATTTTTCTTACTGTTCAACGGCATCATTTTCAACTCTGGTGGCTCATTTATTTCATTTATAGAATCTTGTGCAGCCAATTAAAAAAATTTTTACATAAAAACTCTTCATTATCTACGTCGCCCCAAATCTTCATCTCCCCAACTGAGCGCCCCAAATCTTCGTTTCCCCAAATCTTCATCTCCGTCATTATCTTCAACTCAGCAAAAAACCCAGTCCTCTTCATCTCCGTCGCCCCAAACCCAGGCCTCTTCATCTCCCCAACCGAGCTATCCAGACCTCTTCAAGTTGTTTTGGGAGGGATCCATGAGATTTGTAATTTGATAGGAAAATATAGAGTTTTTTTTTATGAGAGAGTTATGTGGAATGAGTTGTGTAGTGAATTGTGAATTTATAGAGTTTTTCTTACTGTTCAACAGTTATTTTTTCACACAACGGTAATAATTTTCACTCAACGGACATTTTTTCACCCAACGGTAGTATTTTTCAATCAACTGCGAAGTTGAAAGCTAATTAAAAAAAATTACATCACAAGCTCAAACTCTGGTAGCCAATGAAAAAAAAATTACATCACATCTAACTCATCTTCGTCATCTCCCCTTCTTCTTTTCCCCAGCTCATTTCGTTTTCCCAAATCATCTTCATTTTTTTTCTCCATCGCAAGCTCAAACGCCTCCACTCTTCTTCGTTTCCAACCTCGAAAACCAACACCACATCCAACACCGCGGATCTCTGGCTCCCCAACCCACGAATCTCTGGCTCCCCAACCTCGAACACCAACACCGCATCCTCCGCCGCCGCCGATCGGAGCCGTCTTGAATGAAGACCATCTGCTGAAGTCCGCCGCCGCCGATCGGATCTACTTCATGCATATATTTCTTTTTGTAAATTGTTTGTCATCATCAAAAAGGGGGAGATTGTTGGCCTTCTTGTTTTGATGATGTTTAACAAACAATTTACCACTAATGTTGTTTGTCTAGTATTTGTGTTTTCTTATTTATTATAGACAAACAACGTAGTTAGAGGTTGGATGGATTGAGCCTACACAATCATATCCAATGGAGGTTGGCGGAATTATGGAGTGAAGCATCGTACAATTCAAGTTCAAGATCCAAGTTTAGCTTCATCCGCAACGTGTACCAAGTTGAGCTCAATGAAGATCAAGATCAAGCTTGGGTAATTTAGTTTTGGATTTATATTATGTGTGTTTAATACATTAAGCTCAATATCTATACACACATATTTATTGGTTTCCTTGTATATATATATATATATATACATATACATAAGTTTTGGTTTCTATGCATATATACAGTTATATATATTTATATACATGCATGGTTTTGGGTTTTCATGTTTATAATATGAAATCACATATTTCATATTTACTATTGTGTTTTTGAAAACATTGCAATTTTCTATTGTATTTGTAAAAATATTGTATTCTTAGTTTTTGGACTTAACAATAATCATATACATATTTTATTAAGTCTATATAATCATTGTGCAAAGTTTTAAAACATGGTTTAGCCTAAATGTCAAAATTCACATGTTTACATTTTCATGTTTTGGCTTATTTTGTAAAATGATGATATTTTTCATTTGGGAAGTCCTTTTTGGAAACCAGTTATTGTAGCATGTTTATTATCATATCTACAATCATTCCCCAAAGTTTTATATTTTTTGAAATTTATTTGATATTTTTAAACAGTATTTTAAAATCAGAAAAAATGTTTTCAGAACTTCATTTTCATGTATCAGTCCTCGGTCGACCGCACCAGTCGACCGCACCTGTGTTCTTTCGTCAGTGGGCAGCAGAGAGTTTGTCGGTCGACCGTCGTGGTCGACCGAGAGCTCGAAATTTCTATCGGTCGACCGCACCGGTCGACCGAAGAAGTCTCTGCTCGTTTTCTCAGATTGGGATCTGGGTCGCGGTCGACCGTGAATTTTTTCGGTCGACCACCGCTCAATCAGATTCTTTCCGACGGTTATTTTTGTTACCGTTGGCTGGGGTTTTTCTTGTCTTTTGTTTGGGGTTTTTGGCTGAGGTTTTGGGAGGCTATAAATACCCCCATTGATCTCAGTTCTAAAAAAAAGAAGGTTTTAAATAAGTTTTTAAACAAGGGTTTAAGTGTGGTTTTACTGGTTGTTTTAAGTTTGAGTTTTGTTTACGAAGGAGGAAGCTTCACTGCAGATTGAGGGATTCTTTCTCAATCTTCTTCATCATCTTCTTTGTGTTTTAGAGAAGTTTTCTAACTCTTTTCTCTATCAATTTTATTATTGATTTTCATATTCTTATTGCTAGTTTTCTATTTGAGTTAGATTTGATTTCACTCATTGTTACACACATCCACTTGAGCTTATTGTATTTGCATACATAGTATGTTAGGGTTGTGAGAGATTGTAACATTGAGTTGTGCTTCATTGTGTTCTCATCTATTGTAGAGAACAAATTTATATTTGTTACATTGTGAGTGTAGTAAGGTTTTCGGTGAGCTAGAAAACCGAGTGTGTTGTGAAGTTTTCGGTGAACTAGAAAACCGATTGTGAGGAGTGACGTTGTTCGGTGAGCGTTGAAAACCGACACTGTGAGGTGTATACGTTATTCGGGTGAACGTAGAAAACCCGATTGTGATAGTGGATTTCTCCCTGGGAGTGGGGAGCGGAGACGTAGGACGGAAGGTCCGAACTCCGTGATCATATTGCTTGTTTGAGTTTGGCTTAGCACTTATATTTGTTCATCTTTATAGCCTTTCTCTCATTGTTTATTTCATCCACTATTTCATTTGTATCTTGAGTTAAAGATCCAAGTTATCTCTTTGTGCTAATCTTGTTTTGATTACATTTGTATCTTGCTTGTATATTTTTACAAATTATGGATATGAATGATGCATCTTGTTTAGGCTATGATTCTAGTGTTGCTCGTAGATTAGATAATTTCCCCTATGCCTAATGGTGTGTTAGATTTAAGCTATTTGTTAGATCTAAACATTTTGATTTATGGGAAATTATAGATGATGCTTATATTGTGCCCATTTTGGAGAAATCCAAGTGGAATAAAAATGATCATCGTATGTTTACAATGAACAATATCTTGTTAGAATATTTACTAAATGCTCTTGATTCATCTATGCCTAACAAATTTGTTCATTTTGATAGTGCTTACACCTTATGGAAATTTATTGAAGCACATCAAGGGGACTAGGAGGCGATCCAACAAGCTTTGGAGGATCCGACTTCAAGTTCATATGGAGCATCATGCACACGCGCACTAGGCGATAGCCCTAGTGAGGTTTGCGAGTTCGAATCTATTAATGATTTACCTAATGATGAACTTGCTTGTGCTAGTGAAAAATTATTGCATGCCTTTAACAAATTGAAATCCGATCATGAGTCTTTAGCTTCTAAGTTTGATACTATTTCTAATGAAAATATGATCCTTAAAGAAAACAATGAAAAATTAAAATTGGATCATGATTCTTTGCTTTCAAACTTTGCCATGTTAACTCATGAAAAAGATAATGCCATGTTAGAAGTAGAGAACATACAAAATGATACTGCTTCCTTTATAAATGACTATTTATGTTCTACTTCTAAAAGTGCATATGTGCCTAA